CAGCAGCAGCAACAGCAGCAGCAGCAGCAGGAGGAGCAGGAGCGAGAGGGGGAGGAGGAAGAAGAAAAGAGAGAAGGAGAAGCAGCAGGTTTGCTGCTGCCTGCTGCTGATGTCTCCTTGTCTGCTGCTGCTGCAGCAGCACGTGTTGCTGCTGCAGCAATTGTTAGTGAGGTGCAGCAGCTAGAAGGTTTAATGCAGGAGGAGACAGCAGCAAAGGAGACACCTGCTGCTGCTGCTGCTGCTGCTGCTGCTGCTGCTGCTGCTACCACAGCAGCAACAGAACTGCAGCAAAACCTCTCCCTGCTGCTGCAGCGCGGCAGCAGCAAACCACGCACAGGTACAGAAACAAAACAGAGACAAAAGAGAGACAAAAGAGATAGAAAAAAGATATAAAAAAGAGAGAGAAAAGAGAGAAAAAGAGAGACAGAGAGAGACAGAAAGGAGACAGAGAGAGACAAAAAGGAGACAAAAGAGAGACAGAGAGAGACAAAAAGGAGACAGACAGAGAAGAGATAGAAAGGAGACACACCCAAGCAGAATAAACAGCCATAGGATTGCTGCTGTTGCTGCTGCTGCTGCTGCTGCTGCTGCTGTTGCTGCTGCTGCTGTTGCTGCTGCTGCTGTTGCTGCTGCTGTTGCTGCTGCTGCTACGACCACACATATAAGAGACACCTGCAGTGGCCTTCTTCAATTTTCGTTTCACCTGCTGCTGCTGCTGTTGCTGCTGCTGCTGCTGTTGCTGCTGTTGCTGCTGCTGCTGCTGCTGTTGCTGCTGTTGCTGCTGCTGTGTCCTGCAGCAGCGAAGCGTGCTGCAGCCTGCCGCGTGTTGCCGCCTGCAAAGGAGGGAAGGTCTCGTGCAGCAGCAGCAGCAGCAGCAGCAGCAGCAGATCCTGCTGCTGCTGCTGCTGCTGCTGGCCTGACGCTACCGAAGTGGGGAATGCTGCAGCAGCAGCAGCAGCAGGAGCAGCAGCAGCAGCAGCAGCAAGAGGAGGAGCCGCTGCCGTGGCTGCATAGAATATGCTGGGAGATAACGGGCGGTGCTGCTGCTCAGGCGAGGCTTGAGCAGCAGCAGCAGCAGCAGAAGCAGCAGCAGCGGCTGGCGCGGCGGCTGGAACCGCAGCAGCAGCAGCAGCAGCAGCAGCAACAGCAGCAGCAGCAGCAGCAGCAGGATGTCCCTGAAGAGCTGCTACCCCTATGCCGAGACACAGCAGGTAGGGGGACGGGTAGATTTTGCTTTTGTTTGTCTTTATTTTTTTTTTCTTTTTTCTGTCTCCTTTCTGTCTCCTTTCTCTCTTCTGTTTCCTTTCTCTATTCTGTCTCCTTTGTCTCTTCTCTGTCTCCTTTGTCTCATCTGTCTCCTGCTGCTGCTGCTGCTGTTGCTGTTGCTGCTGCTCGTTCGCCGCTGCTGTTTGTCTCCTCGTGCTGCTGTTTGTCTCCTGCTGCTACTACTACTACTGCTGCTGCTGCTGCTGCTGCTGCTTATCTCTTGCTGCTGTTTGTTTGCTGCTGCTGTGTGTCTCCCCAGAGCTGATGGCTGCAGTGCTGAGCACAGTTGCTGCTGCACATGAGCCTGGAGCAGCAGCAGCAGCAGCAGCAGCAGCAGCAGCAGCAGGAGGAGCAGCAGCAGCAGCAGGAGACACAGCAGCAGCAGCAGTTTCTGACAGTCTGCTGCAGCTGCTGGGGCCCTCCAGCGTAAGCGAAGTTCACAAAATAGCAGCAAGAGGAGCAGCACTCGTTGATGCAGCAGCAAGGCTGCAGGCAGCAGCAGACAACAAGCAGCAGCAGCAGCAGCAGCAGCAGCAGAAAAGGAGGGGACCCACACTTATTGGAGCTTCGGTGCGTTCCCTTGCTGCTGCTGCTGCTGCTGCTGCTGTTGTTGTTGCTGCTGCTGCTGCTGCTGTTGTTGTTGCTGCTGCTGCTGTTGTTGTTGCTGCTGCTGCTGCTGTTGCTGGTATATCGCCTTCTGCTGCTGCTGCTGCTGCTGCTGATGCTGCGCCCGCTTCTTCTGCTACTGCTGCTAACTCATCATGACATACCCTTACTTTTCTCTTGCTGCTGCTGCTGCTGCTGCTGCTGCTGCTGCTGCTGCTGCTGCAGGTGAAGTTTGCTTCTAATAAGAAAAAAGGCGATGGGGCCTCGGGGCCCTCGGGGGCCCCCCGCAGCCTTTTGGGGGCCCTGGCGGATGCTGGGTACATGAAGCCCCCCAAACCCCCCAAAACAAGTAAACTCCTTGCTGCTGCTGCTGCTGCTGCTGCTGCAGTTGCTGCTGCTGCTGTTGCTGCACTTGCTGCTGCTGCTGCTGCTGCTGTTGTTGGACTTGCTGCTGCTGCTGCGATTGCTGATGCTGGTGCTGTTGCTCTTGCTCTTGCTGCTATTGGTGCTGTTGCTGTTTCCACTGCCCTTGCTGCTGCTGCTGCTGCTGTTGCTGCTGCTGAGCAGCGCCAGCAGCAGCAGCAGCGGGCTGGGTCGCTTCTGCGTGTATGCTGTACACGTATGGGGTTTAGGGACCCTATACAGCTTCGTAGTTCAGTCTCTAGGGTTTAGGGTTTATTAGGGTTTAGGGTTTAGAGTTTGTGTTGCATGCAGCGAGGGTTTTGTTTGACGAGAATTGCGTGCTGTCTCCGCGGGAGCTTGTGGGGTGTCTCCCCGCGGGGTCTACAGTAAAAGACAGCCCCACAGCTCTTGAGGTTTTTATACCCCCACCTAAACCTGAACCAGTATGCTGCTGCTGCTGCTGCTGCTGCTGCTGCTGCTGCTGCTGCTGCTGCTGCTGCTGCTGCTGCTGGTGGGGTTGGGGTTGCTGCTGGTGGTGGTGCTGCTGCTGGTGCTGCTGTTGCTGCTGGTGGTTGTGGTGCTGCTGCTGCTGCTGCTGCTGGTGTTGCTGCTGCTGGTGTAGTTGTTGGTGCTGGTGTTGCTGTTGCTGCCGCTGGTGTCGCTGTTGCTTCTACTGCTGCTGCTGCTGCTGCTGCTGCTGCTGCTGCACCAACCTAAATACACAAAAAAAAAACCTAAAACAACTAAATAAACAAGCAAGCCTCCAAACCCAACCCCAAACCCCAAACCCTTAAAAAAAAAAAAAAAAAAAAAAAAAAAAAAA